CAGTAAAGGTGTACATTTTGGAAAAAAGGTTTTTACGGACCACGCGTAAAAGCAGCAATTGTTCAGCATAATACTCTGAAAGCCACGAGTCGAGCTTCTTACGCGATAGGTAAGAAGCTACTAGCACGAACAACAATATTTGAAGAAAAAAGTATTGTTCGTCGTGAGAAACACAAGAAACGCATGACAGCGACAAAACCATTAGATGTCTCTGTTCGTAAGTTTAAATAAAGATCACGGACCGAATGTTGAATGGCCGGATATCGATGACAATATGTATGAACAGCTGAAATCTAATCATTATGAAAAGCTGGGAAATCAGCAGAGAAACCGAGACGTACTGAAATATGTTACGCGGGGTCAGCATGAAAACCCGCAGTGGCATCACGTACATCGGACATTACTTACTGCTTCGAATGTTGGAAAAATTTGTTGCAAAAGGGAAACGACCTCGGGTCAAAATCTTGTACAAAACATTCTCTATCTCACTGAACTAACAAATACCGCAGTTGAGTAGGGTAAAGAAAAAGAGATTTTGGTACGAAAAAAATTGCAGGAGATTTTGGGGATAGCTGTAAATGATTGCATTTTATTCATTAACAGCGAATACCCATATTTTGACGAGACGCCTGATGGCATTGTTGGAGACGATACCATCGTCGAAATTAAATGTCCTCATGCGGCGCGACACATGTCTTTTAGCAAAGCAATATATGAACAATTACGATGAATGTGATTTTCCGTGGACTTCGTCTTGATTTGCAGTATGTTACGTTTATAAGAAACTGTAGACGAAAAAATCAAGGAATAATATATATTATGGTTCGTGTGTATTTATCGATGAAAAGTGGACGCGTAAAAATGCATCGCTGCTGAACGTTTGTGACATATCGAAGAGGTGTATGCCCTCTTAATTTGAAAATCCCATATAGCGAATTTCGACATGCTGTTGTGAATTTACAGAGTAATCAGGTTGTACACCTGGCTACATTTTTACATATATTTTGCCTCGAAGCACACAGGGTGAGTACATCATTCGTTTACAGCTACTTGGCTTCTTAGGTAAAATCAATGTGCGTGATTAAGAAGCCAGCAACAATTGGTGGTTACAAGTGTGCTATGAAGGAATGTAATTAACAAACGGGCATAAGCCATGAATTAAGCTTTCTCAGGTTCCCATTACATTCGAAAAGGTATGTATGGTAACTTAACGCCAATGAAAGGATAAAATATATTTTACTTTGAGAATTTTTTAATTATCTGCTTTCAAAAAATTGCCAAGAAACGACGTATTATAATAGTTTAATTAATTTTTAAACTAAAGTAAATTACATTACATTTTGGATCAAAACCGTGAGCAGAAGCATGCGGCATAAGGCAGCATATTTTACTGGAGAGGCTTCATAAGAACTACAGAGTTTTTTAAGAACCACAAAACATTTTGCTCCCCACATATTTTTAAGCAACTTACGTAATCGATTACAGCCACATCCACCACTCCCAGACGCAACAATATTTACAAATATCTTTGAGTAGTAAGTACAATTTGATTTTACGATGACAGTCAAAAACGATAAAATCAAGTGACACAATCATGATTTCTTGATAAGTAAGTCTAATTTTTATTAATTTCTACATCTATATTGACATAAATGATTCTTTCAATGACATTTACTATTTTTAGAACATGATGAGATTGAAACAACAGTGTATACAAGCACATACAAGCTATATGAATT